CCTAGCCACATGACATGTTTTTAATTAAAATATAGACCACCCAGACTGTGCCATCTAATTTTTAGATGCTTAGAGATTGCCAGTTCATTTCCATATTGGCCCAAGCAAAGCAGAAAAGCTGTGGTACAAAAGTACAATCTGATTTATTCTAAGACAAAGGGTTTTTGTGTTCTGTGTGGATGTATCAATTAATACTAATGTATGCCAAGTCTCATTCCAGGAATGGGTGTGAAGCAGGAACCTGGGGTCCTGGGCCTCCTAGGCTCAGTGTTACTATTCTAAATCTTCAGTTGTTGGCTGCGTTTCTGACATCTCCGAAGGCACTCTGCATAGCCATTTGCTGGCGCTGTCCTTCCCAAGCCCATGTGGAAGCCTTGTGTTCCGTGATTATGTGAGCTGCAGCCCTAAGCCTGCTCTGGCTCTGGGGGTTGATGTTGCTTGGGGTGTTTCCCTCACTGCTTTCTCTCTCTAGGATAGGGGTGCATGTGTGCTCTTGGCAGAGCAGTGATTCTGTGGTGTCGTGTGGAAGGACAGAGTGAGAGGGTGGGGATGTGGCACTGAGCTGGCTTGCTGGATGCAGCATTCCACATCTCTGTGGAGCAAAGAGGCCTGAGAAATCCAGGAGAGGAACTTTCAGTGGAGGGAAAAGCTCTGGCCTAGTGGATCGCATCCAGAGCTCAGTGGGAGAGATCATTATTGCTTCTGGAATGTGTAGCCTGGCTGGGGGGCATGGACTAGAGGGCCAAAGAGTCCCCTGTCTTCCCCCAAATAATGCCTTTGACTTGAGAAGTTCCTGGGAAGCACGGTTTTCAAATTTTTCCTCCCACCTGGCCTCTCTGGCCTAGAGGAAAGCTCTTTTGTTTTGGCCTGAGGCCTTGTAAGTGTAGCTGCAAAGCAGTCACTTTCAGAATTGATGCTGTTTGAAGCCGTGGGACTCTTCAGTGGTGATCCTGGGCAAAAGCATTAGGCAGGGCTTCTCCACAGCAGTGCTGGGGACATCCGTGTCTGACACTTTGTCCTGAGCTGTCTGGTGGCTGATAGGGTATTTCCCAGCATCCTTGTGCTCTACGCACTAGATGTGAGTGTTACTCTCTTTTCCCAGTTGTAACGATCCACAATGTCTCCAGACAGCCAAATGTCTCCTGGGGACAGAATTGCTCCTTCTTGAGAAGCCTAAAGTGGATGCAGTTGATTTAGAGTGGGCTAGGGAGCTCGGGGTGCCATCTCTCTGCTCTCCGTTTTTTCTCTTCTCCTGTGATACTGAGCCAAGCTGGGGCATCCAGTTGGAGATCAGCGCTGCAGGTCCCCATGCCCCCAACCACACCATGCCCCCAACCACACCATGCCCCCAGCCACATTGCAGGCATCTTTCTGGGCTCCTCCTCACCCCACTGCAGGAGTGATTTGTGAGCTGCTTTTGCAACCATGAGGCTGTTCAGCCTGGGGTCCTGGCACAGAACTATGAGTTGCTGCCCTGGACAGGGTGCAGGTGGCTGACCTTCTTTTAAAAATATATGGCTATTGATTGTTTTTCAAATGACAAAAAGAATGCTCTATTGAAACAACTCTGACGACTTAGCAAAGCACAGAAAAGGAGGAGCCATGTGTGACCGTGTTAGGGAGAGTATCCACTGTTTACTCTAACAGAAGCAAACCAAGCCTACGCTCATCCTTCATCTTGTAGAGCTGGCCTTTTCTGCTTTAATGCATGGCCTCCCTAATAGCTCAAACCAGCCAGCAGAGTTACCATAACTGACCTCTCTGGTCTGGTACCAAGCGATGAGTCACTGGAAAACTTGGCAGGCACACACCGATGTCATCATCAAATGTCAAGTTCGTGCCTTTGGCGACCTGTTCCTCCTCAGAACCTGCACTGACATGACCCCAGTGACCCCCTTGGATTTGTTTATACATTTCTACTTGAACTGTATTCCAGGAGGTCATGAATGACAGGTTTCCTATCCCTGTACTTAGGGGGTTTTTGTTAGTGACTGCTGAGAAATGACAACTTCCAGGAGAAACCTACTGCCGTTGTTCAGCCTGAAAAGTGAGAAAGGATTGCTTAGACTCCTAAAAGAAGGGGCAAAAAAACAAACCCCAAGACTTATGCTTCCTGAGGACCTCTGTCCCAGGAATGTGTAGGCACCTACACATCCTCTTTCCTCTCTGTGTCACTTACTTTCAATGGCAGGTATTTCTTATCCCCACTTGACAGGTAGGAAGAGTGAGGCACAGGCAGGTGAAGTAACCTGAACAGGACAGGGGGAGAGGTAGTCATGGGATTGAGATGCACATGCTGGCAGCTGGCCCTAGGCAGGAGCCAGCTACTATTTTCTGTAAAGGGCTGTAGGAAATAGGGTTGGCCTTGCAGCAACTGTCCAGTTCTGTCATTGTAACTTGACAGTAGCATAGATGATAATAAGTGAGTGGTTAGGAATATGGAAATTTGAATTTCATATGCTTTTCAAAGGTCTTTTGATTTAAAAAAAAGATGTAAAAATTAGTCTTAGCTCTGGGATTGTGTAAAAGCTGGCAGTAGCTTGGATTTGGCCCCTAAGCTGTAGTTCTTCAACCACTGTCCAGAGACCCTAACCCTTTCTCCCTTCCTTTTCTTTCCTTCTCTCTCTCTCTCTCTCTCTCTCTCTCTCTCTCTCTCTCTCTTTCTTTCTTTCTTTTTTTATTTTGCAGTACTGAGGGTTTGACCTAGGGTCTTTACACTGAGCTACATCCTCAACCCTATTATTATTTTTTGTTCTGAGACATGGTCTCATTAAGTTGTCCAGGCTGGGCTTGAACTTGCAATTTTCCTTCCCCAGAGTGCAGAGAGGACTGGCATTCTCATAGCTGGCTGAGCCCTGACTTCTAGCCAAACTATTGCACTGTGGTTGTTAAAATGTTGACCCCTTATTTCGGAAATTTCAGAGGAACAGAGGAAGTAGGAGCCATTTTTTTGTCTGCCATCCGGTTGGTTTATCCACTCGTATCTCTTCCCTTGCTCAGTGTGCGTGCAGGTTGGGAAGGGCTAGTCTGTAGACCTGAAGGCATGAGGGCTGAAACGAGCAAAGTTTTAGAGTGCAGTGATGATTGACAGCCAGGCCATCATAAAGACGCCCCGATGGAATACTAATATGGGCTGAGAAGAATGATTTCATTTATTTAAACAATTTGATTGACAGCCCCTTGTTGGAAGCAGCTCCTCATAGGCAGCCAGGCTCTAGGAGGAAGCAGCACGCTGTACAAACACTGCAATCTGCTTGGTAATTGGCACAGCCCATGGCCTGAGAAGATGCTGGGGGCGCTTAGTGGCACAGGTGGTCCAGCCTCTCCTGAGTGTCCTTTTCATCTGAAATGTTGCCAGGCTTCCTGCCTCGGTGGGATCAGACCAGGCAGACCGCCTTGGAGCCATGAGAATTTCAGGCAGAAGACTTCGGAGTTGGAATGCAGCACCAACCTGACCACCTGGTCCACGTCCTCAGCACATACCAATGTCTCTGCCTGCTCAGCAGGGATGCCGGGCGAGTGTGGAACAAAATGGGCTCTCAGCATACCTCGTCACTGCGCGGCGCGAAGTGCTTCCCAAGGCCCTGGCAGCCATAGTCCTGCTGCCTTCTTGGCTCTGGCTGGACTTGGTGGCAGATGGCAGAGCCATGGGTGTGATGGAGTTGGGAGGAGATGTCTGGGGAAGGTACTTGTCACTATTCTGGCCACAGTGTGCTTGGGTAGCTGTGTCCCGGGGTGAGCTTTCACCTTTCTGCATCTTTGCTGAGGTGGGACTTAGAACGCATGGTCACCGATCAGAGTCTGATCCTGGGAGCACAGTGGTGGGGTGTGGAAGCCTTTTACTGAGGTCCTTTGGTGCTTGTGAGACAGCAGGGATGTGTGAGCAGTCAGCTTTTGCACGGCTTTTCCGCAGGAAAGGGCCATGGTAATCAATAAAGCTATAATGAGGGATGTAATGAGGGATGTTTGCTCCTGGCATTTTTTCAATATTAAGGAACTAACAGAAGGCAGACCCACACCCAGACAAGCCTCTTTGTGCTGACAGAGGTCTCTGGTTTCTTTGCTTTTGCCTGGAATTTATGTATGGGGCAATGTAGAACTGGTTTGTGTCTGTTGATGAAAAGCTCTGGTTAACAGTGATTTATGTCATTGGTTAATAAATCTGAGAAGATGAATTAATTATTACTTAATAAATATAGTATGCTTGCTAGACACAAACCTCTTTAAACATGAAATCTCTTAGGAAAAGGTCTGAAAAGAGATCTTCATGATGAAAAGGGAGAGAAAGTGCTGATCTGGGGCAATCGTGTCCTTTACAAATGTGGAAATGAGAGCCCCAAGAAACACAGAGCACTTGCGCAAAGCCACGTGTAACAGCCTTGCAGACAAAGCTACCACTGCTCCTGCACTACCCAGCTGGCTGTACTCTTGCCCCCACTCGGCGATGCCTCCCTGTCCTTGGGGAGCCTCCTCCTCTCTCAAGTCGCTCTCTAAATCAAGCCCTGGGTTTTCTGAATGAGCTGCAGGTGCACTGGCTGTGGTCACCCATCAGTGGCTGCCCAAGTCTGGTGTGTGTCCTTCTGGGCTTTGCTACCCAGGAGCCAGGCCTCTGGGCAAGCCCCAACTACCTTTCAAAGACCTTATCCTTTGTATTGTCTTTGTGGACAGGAACTAAGGAACAAAAAACGATTGCTCAAAAGAAAGGGAATGGGGGAAACTGAGTCAGAAAGACATGCAGGAAGGCTGAGTTTCCAATGTTTGTTTCTTGATCTGAGGGTGTGGTGCTGGGATTTGTGAATCGACTTCACCACCAGCGAGTTTCACCACCCAGAAATACTTGGTGACTTGGCAGGATGCTTGACTGGCATTGGACCAATACCAGAGTCACACTTGAATTGGTCCTTAAAGCTAGTGTCCTTTGGCTGCACCCTCAGTGTGGTCCCTCCTGACTTGACCTTGCCCTGACTCTGCCTCTGACCCTGTGTCCTCTCTTCCCACAGACACATAGAGAACTGGCGCAGCCTGCACACGCTGAACGCCGTTGATATGGAGCTGTACACTGGACTCCAGAAACTGTGAGTGTGGTCCTCTTTCAGGAGGGTTCTGCTGACCATTTTAGGGGATGTCAGGACGGGCCTCACGTCCCATCCCATCCGGGATGGGCTTGGTGTTGCATGGCTGCACCCTAAAGCTAAGGATTTCAGGGCTGACACCCCACATTCTTTCTCTGGCCCAGAACTTGATGGAAAGTCCCCAGCCAGCACTAGATTTCTGGTCACTTCCTTTGGTGGACTTCAGTATTCGTGATGATGGGAACCTGGTGTGGGTGGGGGAGAAGACACCATCGGAGCTGTGGCCTATGTTTGCTGGTCCACAGGACCTATGTCCTTACCTGCTGACCCAATAGGCAGAGGGCAACTATCTGTACCTCTGGTTGCAACCCAGCCCCTCATCTGGCCCTGAGTGTGAGCCTAGGTGCCGCCTGCTGATTCCCTGCTGGGCCACCCAGAGGTGACTGGGAATAGTAAGGTACAGGCCAGGCTGGGGCCTCAGCACCCAGAGTGCCACTGACTATTTTCCTCTCTGCCCAGGACCATCAAGAACTCGGGACTTCGGAGCATCCAGCCCAGAGCCTTTGCCAAGAACCCCCATCTGCGCTACATGTGAGTACAGCAGGCTTCAGGATGGTGGGAAACACAGGGAGACATCCTTGGCCATAGGACACTGGAGACCTGAGGCTGAGAGTTGGCTCCACCACTGCTGCCCATGGGTGGGTGCAGTGGGTTTCCTGGGCCTCCCACCTTGCCTCTTAAAATGAGGATTTTGGATTTGGTCACCACTGAGGTTCCCATCAGAAGGAAAAGTGTACCACCAGGGCTAAAAGGGGAATCGCAGTTCTATGGAACCGGAAATGACAGGGAATTCTATTCAGCTATAATGTAAATTGTGCACTTCTGAGACCACGTGTAGGGGTGTGTGTGTGTGTGTGTGTCTGACAAGCTGTAAATCACATGGTCATGGGTGGGCTTTCTGTCTGCCTGTACCTCCCTCATCCTAACTCCCCCCACTGCCATGTCTGATGGGTGAAATGGCTTCCTTAGGGACTGGTGTTGACTGGACCCAGTGGGAGAGAATCATCAAACTTGATGCTTTTCCTCAAATCTGGCTCTGAGCTAATGGATGCTAGCATTCAATGGGAAGATGCCATTCTCTAGGGAGAAAGTCTTCTGGGTGTGCAATGAGACCTGGTTTGAGTGATCATTGGAAATGTCAACCTCCCACACTCCTGGGTGGTGCTTATTGTCTGGGTTGGCTCTCTAGGAGCTCACGGATAGTGGCCATATTGGATGCCCAATGGGCATGGCCCCAAAAAGCAGAGATTCTCTATGAATTGTGTGGGGTTTATTGCATTTGGTGAGAAAATGGAAAAATGGTATGTATACTGGTCTATCCTTTGCTGGAAAGCTTGCATTAGATGGTGGGAGGGCTGTTGGCTGTCTAGAAATCCCTTAAGAAGGGATGGAGGTCAAGAATAGGGGTATGGTTCTGTAATCCTAGTACTTCGGGAGTCTACAGCAGGAGAATCAGAAGCTGAAGCCCAGCCTACATGATTTAGGGACTTAGTGAGACCTTGTGTCCAAATAAAAAAGGAAAAAGGGCTGGGGATGTGGCTTAGTGCAAAGGTTCTGGGTTCGATCTCCAGTGCTGAAAAAAAGTAGTAATGTTTCCGGGGGAATTCTCTCAGGAAATAGAGGACACTGCAAGTGGAGAAGGGGAAGATAGGAACTTGCAGCTGAGTACTTGGAGAATAGTTTCCACACTCGGGATCCTGGCCTTATCCTTCGCCCTCTGTGTTTTCCCAAGCGCGTAATGAGTGCTTGATAAATAAATACGTCCACCTCTGCTTTCTGCTGAACTATCTCTCCTTTCTCTGGAAACAGCGAGCTCCATGACCACTGTTCAGGGCCAGATGTATTAGCTACGGGGGACTCAGACCTTCCTCCTGATTTAGCTTTTGCCCCTTGCCCTGGTGTAGTCTCTGTGGTGAGATTTTCCTGATGTGTGTTCTATGCAGCTACAGGCAGATCTGGGCCCATAAGAGGGGCCTTGGACCAGATGTTCCAGGTGTTTATTTTATTTGAGATTTGAGTTTCATTGTAAAATGTCTCAAGGGAGAGAGCTTTGGACATCTGAGAAGGCTTCCTTTTCATAGTAACCCATACAGAGGTCACAAACCACATGCCCAGTGCAGACCAGGTGGGAACAGTGGAAGATGGGGACCACATGTCCCCTCTGAAGGTGCAGCTAGTAAACCGCTCCAGCTGCCTGCTGCCATGTGGCAGTAGGACAGTATTTCTAGACTTGCTGCTTTTTCTATAGTGAGCTGCAGAGTCTGTGAAATCATTCAAATTTTAAACACTGGTAGCTAAAAACAACAAAAACAAAAACAAAAGAAAAACCCTTTCAACTCCATGGACCAAACAGAACTGCTCCATGGTTAGGGTGCTCGTTAGTGGCGTAGGGTCAGTTTTGGGGAGAGGGAAACCATGAATATGGGACAAGTTCTGTCCCTTTTGTGGACAGGGCCAGATACCCATGCCTCAGGGTCTTCTAGAGCATCATGCCACCTGCAGCTCTCAGGCAGATGGAGAAAGCTTCAGGGCCTGCCATGCTCCTAGGGGTGAGCCAAGTGGGAGCAGGGGCATCTTGGCTACAGGGCTTCAGAAGTGACTTGCCAGGGCATATCTTTGACGTGCCCTTGATGTCCCTGGAAGAGGCTGTGACAAAGGCTGGCGGGACTTGCAGGATCTGCAAGGCACTGGGGCAGGGGGTCTGGTTGAAGTAGGGCTTGACGATATCGTGAACTTTGGGCCCTGTTTTTCCTGCTCTTGCTTGAGTACTTGCTCTTGGTTCCGGGGTCAGTGAGTGGTGCAGGTTGTCAGATTCCATCCCTAATTTGGGTCTGGCTGTGCCTGGAAGTGGACACCCTGTTGAAGGGCTCTGATAGACACCGGGGGATTCCAGAGCAGCTAGGATTGCAGAGAGGTGAGTTGCCAGGATGAGGCACATGCTCTGGCCTCCTCCATGGGTTTTATTTATTAACCTTCCCCGTTTATGAAGACACACCCCAAATCCCGACTGAGTGAATTTCCCGGCAGCTTTGGGACATTTTCTCCTGGCAAATGGGCCAGGTTTCACTGCTCTCTCACAACGTCTTCTATTTTTGTCTTCTAAATGCATTTACAAGTCTTCAGGCCCCAGCTGAGCAATCACAAGATGATCACTTACTCCAGCACTAATTGCCAAGCCCTGGCTTGGCGGCTTTTTCTTTTTTTTCCTTTTTTATTTTTTTAGGGTGATGGCTGAGAAGTCTTTTTGTCTCCCCTCTGTACAGAATAAGAAGCAGGAAGTGATGTCATTGCTTCTATCCCAATGTCAAGTTATCTTAAGTCATTCCAACTGGTCCAGCTGTCCCTCACTCACCCTTACTTCCCCTCTAACATTAGTCTGTGCACTTCTTCTCCAGGCTGGAAAGTGAGCCAAGTGAAGGCCAAGTTGTTTGCTCCTATGAAGATTGGAAATCAGAACTCTTGAGCCATAACCACTTGGAGGTTTATGAGTGACTTTCTCCTCTTGTTTGCTGCAGCTTTTTCTATCTTTTGTTGAATGTGAAAATTGAAATTTTCATTAATGTACATCTAGGAAGATCCTTTGTGAGAGATAGGAAAGATATATATATATATATATATATATATATATATATATATATATGTAGATAGAGAGGACCCACAGCAATAACAGCTTCCTCAGCTGATAATTGCTAATCTGTAAAGTAGGCATAATAACAGTGTTTGTTGTAGGCATGGGGTATGGTAATGACTTAGTGATAGATGCCCCATACAGTACTTAGCCCAATGCCTGGTGAGCAGAGCTCAGAAATGACAGTGGCTAATAATGGTAGGCATTATTGTACTTATTGGTGGTGGTGATAATAGAACAGAATAGGAAGGCTAAGGTGAACACAGTGGCTATTCTGATTTTTTTTTTTGAGTTTAAATTCTGGAGATTCTAGGTTTCCTTCTGCAGTGCAATCCCCCTCTCTAGGGATTGGTATGCGCACATCTTTAATGCTTGTGTCTTTCTGCCTTGAATATGGATTTGGTCCCTTTGCTGACATCTAGACTCCATGCAGACCCCTCTGGAGGAATTAATTTCAAACAGGATCTAAGCAATTGCTAGTCATATGCTTACAACGTTCTTTGTCTTTGTTTGATTAGAGACACATCCACCAACATGGTTGAACTTGGACTGTTTGCTGAATCCCCCGAGCCTCTCTGCTGCAGCTGGTTCCACTCTTCCTTTAGGGGGTTTGTTTTTACTGGCATGGCTCACACACACCTGGATCTCCACCATCTGGGGTCCCCATAATAGGGTAATGTAGGTACCAATCTATGAGCTGCACTCCAGTGATGGCCCTTCCCTTCATCTGAGAGCACTTCATGCTCTTCAAAGTGCTTTCCCCTTCATTATCGCATTGAATTCTTGTAAGCATCCTGGGCCAGGGGTGTGACAGGCAGCCTATGGTACAGCCCAGGAGACAGTGAGGATCCTCCCTGGTGTATATCAATGGGACTGCACCTAGGTCCTATGCTTCTCTTTCCAGGAATCTTTGCACTCTACCTATGGACCAGAGGGGAAATGTTTTTCATAGAAGTGCTTAACAGTATCTATGATATTTAGAAAATTGCATTAAGAATACTAGTCTCCAAAGAGAATAGGCATAGGCTGAGAACTTAGTAATGCCAAGGATTATGCTTAGTATTTTTGCAAATATGAGCTCACTTACTCCTCACGGTGATGTGAAGGGTGGACTCCTCTGCTTGTATTTTGTAGTTGAGAAGACTGAGATTCAGAAGACATAGCTGAGTTTTCTAAGGTCATGTACAGTAAGGTTGGAAAATAGCCTAGGTGTAGATTCCCATCTCTTTGACTCCGAAGTCCATGTATTTTTTATATCCCAGGAGTGTTTTGTCTCTCTGGTTTTCACAGCAAGAACTTATAGGAGGAGTGGGGGTCTTTAAAATTTTATTAGAGAGTTGCTATTTCCTCCTGGGGATTTAGCACCATCTATCCTCAAAGAGCTCTGTTGAGAAAGCTCTGTTTAGTTTCTTTTTCTATTCAGGTCAAATCCTATAACAACAGTTACATTGCAGACTGAATATCTTTATTATGAAAGATTTCTTAGCATTGGCCTGTGGCCTACTTATTTCCAAGAATATTTAATATAAGATTCCAGCAAGCCAAAAGAATTTATTTAATACCTTAGAGTTGGTTGTGGTGGGATCTCTCTCGTGTTCAGTCTCTTGCTCTTTTCCAAAAAGCTCTGGATGTCAGACTAAAGTATTTCTCACTCTGTTGTCAGCAAACATGCACTTGATCTTCAGCTGGGAAAGGGTGGGAAGGTGGGGGATGTCCTAATTTGGGCTTAATTGTGTCAACTGTGTTATGCTAGCAAGAAAGGAAAGACAGCAATGCTAGGTGGATAGGAAAAAAGAAAGTGGCCAGAGTCCCACCTTTTCAGGACACCAACTGTAGAACCAACGTTTCTTGAGATTACTGGGATAAAAACACAATGATATATTATGGCTTGCAAATCACTAGA